ACTTAATATCACTAATAAATTTTAGCTACTAAATGAATTATATGTTGGGATATACCTTTATAATGTGATCTTCATCTTCTTAATTAGTAAACTTTCATAGTTAAGTGTCACTGTTACTCATGTTACTCCCCCCCCCCAAAAAAAAAAAAAAACGCTAAAAAACAAAAGCAAAAAAAAAAAACATTGTAATTTTTTACTGTAAAGTGCAAGACTCTTAACTAAGTGACCAGGTAAGTGATATTTTTATTATTAGCTCGACTACATAAAGTATATGTAGACATATCCTACTCACCTCAGTTTTTAAGTTCGCGCCAGCGTACATACTTTAAATTAATGCCTATAGATGTGCAGTAAATATTTTATCCCAACTTTTTTATTAGCTCATCTGAGGACAATGTCCGTGCGTCAAAAATTTATTTAAACAACTTCTACTCCTAAACCACTTAGCCAAATTTGTTAAAACTTTGCAGGAGTGTACCTTGCATAAAGCTCTACCAAAGGTGTTCAAAGAATAAAATCCCATGCAGAACTTTGATTGCCACAGCAACCAAAACAAGAGCTGTCGGAAGGACAGCACGCTCGACTATTCTAAGTGCTTGATAGTAAAAGAGCCTTGATAATGTTAAATTTTTAAAGTTCACAAAAGGGCTAATTTTTTTTTATAAATTCATGTTATAGGCCTTAGAGAGAGTCTAATTATACAGTATTGGCTTGACTATTCGGAAGGTAATGTCACAAGGGTGTTTTATTGAATATAATAATACTAATTACCTATGAATACATAAATTTGACAGACAAGGTACAAAGGCTTGTTATTAAGATGTTTTATCAAGAAATCACTGCTTTATTATTATGAATGCATAAAATTGTCCCAAAAAGGCACAAACCCTTCAGTAGTTATTGAGATAACAGCTTACAAACAAAACTTTACCATGAAAAATCAGCCTAAATGCAAGATAGAATTATGGATTATGACCTACAATTATGACCCTAAAAGCATATGTGAAGTTTTAAATAAATATCTTTAATAGTTATTGAGATATGTAAAACTTGCATGTAAACATTAACCAAGAGACTAAGTAGAAAAGGGGATATGAATCAGCCTTAATGCAAGATAGAGTTATGGAACTTGGTCAGTGACATACAATTATGACCCTCCAATTATGACCCTAAGTGCATGTGTAAAGTTTCAAGCAAATATCTTTGAATACCTTTAACCTTTAACCAAAATTACTAAGTTTCAAAGGGGCAAATAATTCTGCAAATATTGCAGGCAGAGTTATGCAATTTTGCACACTGATGTACATTGTTACTACAAAAAAGTATTTTAAATTTCGTTTGAATATCTCAAGCAATAATTGAGATATTTGACTTTACAAAAAAACTTTAACAAAAAAAAATTCTAAGTTCCAAAGGGGCATAATTCTGTCAATATTGTAGGCAGAATTATCCCACTTGTCAATCTGATGTACCTTGTTACTATAAATAAGTATTGTAAGTTTAAATTGAATATCTCAAGCAATAATTGAGATATTTGACTTTACAAAAAACTTTGACCAAAATTTCTAAGTTAAAAAGGGGCATAATTCTGTCAATATTGTAGGCAGAGTTATCCAACTTGTCAATCTGATGTACCTTGTTACTATAAATAAGTATTGTAAGTTTAAATTGAATATCTCAAGCAATAATTGAGATATTTGACTTTACAAAAAACTTTAACCAAAATTTCTAAGTTAAAAAGGGGCATAATTCTGTCAATATTGTAGGCAGAGTTATCCAACTTGTCTATCTGATGTACCTTGTTACTATAAATAAGTATTGTAAGTTTCAATTGAATATCTCAAGCAATAATTGAGATATTTGACTTTACAAAAAACTTTAACCAAAATTTCTAAGTTAAAAAGGGGCATAATTCTGTCAATATTGTAGGCAGAGTTATCAAACTTGTCAATCTGATGTACCTTGTTACTATAAATAAGTATTGTAAGTTTCAATTGAATATCTCAAGTAATAATTGAGATATTTGACTTTACAAAAAACTTTAACCAACGCAGACGCCGACGCAGACGCCGACGCCGGGGCGACTACAATAGCTCTCATATTCTTCGAATAGTCGAGCTAAAAATTATAAACCTTTCTTTTAAAAAAATCCAAAGAGCTAGAGCTTAGATATTTGGCATGAAACATCTTATACTGAGTGTCTATCAAGTTTATTCCATCAAAGCCCTGGGATAAAAATTGGCCTGCCCCAAAGGGTCATTAATTTTCATTATACATCTGTATGTACACATGTATATCTTATCATCATACACATCATGTGATAAGGTGTTAAACTAAAAAAAGTATTTACAGAACAATTTCCCTTTGAACATATAATTTTCCATAAAATAATGTTATTTTTTACTCTATGCTTCATTTCATCATAAGGGATTGACCTAAAACTTCAAATATGTGTACCTTACCAACAACTACATCATATGTGACAATGTTGTTCACTTAAGCACCAATATTTTTCCAGAATATTTCCCCATGAACTCATTTTTTTCCTCAAAATAATTATGTTACTTTTTACTAACTTCTTTATTTCTTAAGGTATCTACTTCTAACTTAAAAATATATGTTCCTTATACATGTGTGACAATATTCATAACTCTAGCATGAATATTTCCAGAATTATTTCCCCTTTGAACTTAGATGTTTATTATGCCCCCGAAGGGTGGCATATTAAAATCGAACCGTCCGTCTGTCAGTCCGTCCGGCTTTATACATATAGACAGTGGTGGTCTTGTCCGTTCTGAAACTTCAGTATACATGAAAGGATTTTAATTTTATTCATATATGAAATAACCAAAGATGTATGGTGTGTCGCAAACAAGACTCGGGTTCCTACGACTAAGGTCAAGGTCATTGTTGGGGTTCAAACTTTGTCATTTTTTATGTTATATAAATATAAAAGGTGGTGGTTCTGTCCGCTCTGAAACTTCTGTATTTCTCTATATTATATGCATGAAAGGATTTTATTTTTTCTTTCATATAAGAAATAACCATAGATGCATGGTGTGTCGCGAACAAGGCTCGGTTTCTTACGACTAAGGTCAAGGTCACTGTGGGGGTTCAAACTTTCAATTTTGATGTTAATATACAAATAGGCAGAGATGGCCGTGTATGCTCTGAAACTAATATGCATGAAAGGATAATATGTTTTATTTCACATATGAAATTATCATAAATGTATGATGTGTTGCCCTTAAGACATATAAATGGTGGTTGTTGTGTTCGCTCTGTAACTTCCATATACATGAAAGTTTCATTTTTTTTTAAATATAAAGTCACCATAGATGGACAATGTGTTGTGAACAAGACCAAGGTTTCTTTATCTAACTTAAAGGTCACTCAGCTGGGGTTCGACACACAACATGTTATAGGTGGTTCATAACTAGAATCCTTTAGGGGCATTTGTCACGTTCTGTGACAGCTCTTCTTTATAAATTATTTTTATATATTTATATTTTTGCTCTTACTTCTTTATTTATGAAAGAATTTACTTCTAACTTTAAACAATAACATGACAAGCTACATAACTCTAGCGTAAATATTTTCAGAATCATCATCTTTTTTACTCAGAATTTTCCGCATTAAATTTGGACTTAAAAATATGTTTCTGAACACTTATATCAGGTGCGAATATTTTTATAACTCCTGTATTTTTAGTATTATCTCCATTAAATTTTGAACATGGGATTTAGTGAAAATTCATATATTTCTGAGTATTATCTTTGTCCTGAGTCCTGGCTCCTCTGGCAGCTATTGTGACTTTTGGTGTTCAGTTATGGTTTCCTTAAAATAACTTAAAGGTCATCAAATTTTTACTATTATCTGCTCTTTTGCAATTGGTAAAGTTAAAGTGATTTAGTATTTTGTATGGAAGTCAAAATACTACTTTGGTTACATTTTGCTACCTTTTTTACAATTTTTTTTCACTTCATAGCTACTTCTCAATCAAATTGAATGATAAGCATCAATAATGCTTTAAACCCATTATTTTTATTACTAAACATTATTTTGCTCCTTAAGAAAAAAATAAAAATAATATAAATGTCTGAGGCATGATATGCATTTACCATGAAAGTAATTATACATTAGTGCACAGGAACTCGGCACAGTGTTGGGATAGTGTAAAAAGAAATTTTAGAAATAAAAAACCTATTCAATATTTTTGTTTCTAAAATTAATTTTTTACTATATCCCAACACTGTACTGAGTCCCTGTCATTGTGAGTTGTAAGTGATTAAAATTCTTTTTAATGTAATCCAGTCTTTTTAGTCTTTAACTTATTTCAAATTGAATGTATCTATGAAAATCTTAGTTTTCCTTATATCTAAAATGTTCTCTATATCCTCCAGCTAAAACTATACATTCTTGAAACATGATAGGATCATAAAACATTCTAGGGTGCTGCTATCAGTGATACTGTGACAAGCCATGTAATTATAATTAAATGCTCATCACTGGCCAGAGATATGAAATTTTGGGGGAAAACTGGAAATCTTGGGTTTATGCGTAGGACTGTTAACTTTAACCCAGTTTACTAAGGGAGATTATCATATTACATTTATTTCAGTTAAGCATAAAAGAGTTAATTCCCCTTGAAATGATATATCCTAGTTATTTGACAATAAGACTGTTCAAGATATTGAAATAATTATAATAAGACAGTAGTGGATAAAAATATACAATATGCTCTTCTTGACTTACAGATGTAGAGAGTCTACTAATCGGACATGACTACAACTGTACTGTTGACTATAAGAAAAATACCAAAGTTCAATCCCCTGCTGTAGCAAGGACTGCAATACATCATTTTGTCTATTATGGTGGTCATGTGTACAGATTTGTTTAGAAATTCTATCATGCTTGAAAAACATATTGACAGGACACAGTATATAATATAGTTTTAACATGGTAGCACTATGTGGTAGAGTAACTAGAATTCAACATACCAGTCCGGCAATAGGCCCAGGAAGTTTGTTAATTCTCTTCACACTGCCTGCCTTCAAACCATTCAATAATCTGAAATAAACATTTATTAAACTTTAATTAAGCAACTCTTTCATAATTATTTTGTCCTCATTTACATCAGTTACGGAATTAATGGGGAATAAAATCATATTTTTTGCATACAACAACATCTGGATAGATGTGGACAGTAAAAAATACATACCCATTTTGAAGATAAAGGGGCATAATTTTTACAGAATATAAGCAAGACTTATGTAACTTGTCATGTCTAGCCAACCATAGATGCTTAATACATTTGTTATTATATTAAGAAATAATTTTTTTAACAGTTTCTGAGAAATAATCTCTTGTGGTATCATAATGTAGTAATTTGTTTACAAAGACTGCAACTCAAATCAGTCACATCTCTACAGAATAAATCTCAAAATTGAACTAAATATAGAACCTTCAACTTCATTTGACAGTAACATATGTGTGGCCTTTATCACACAGGTCCCTAGGGAACAAACTACAGAGTAATTAATCCTCCAAAACACAGTCATATGTTATACAAGTTCTATTAGATTTGCTCAATACAACAAAAAATGCTTGTTTTCAATTCTACATCCTGAAAGTACTCTGACCATGAAAGAACTTGGTAGGCATTAAAAACATTGAACATTTTATTCTGGAAATCTAGGAAGCACTGGCTTATTTTTTATGTGAACATCTCATGGAATAAACAATAAGTTAATTGTATCAAACAAAGGGACACTTAGCTTAATTGGTGGATCTGTCATTCTACACAATGTATGTCTGGCACAACAACTGCTTGCAAATGACCCAATAATTTATCCCATTAAAAATTTACAAATATCTTGAATTATATTGACAAAAGCTCTATCACTTTCATATATACAGCCTAGTTCTTGATGACACACACTAGAACAGTAAGTCTTGTTTGTCTGTAGATTTCATGTTGGGGTTAAAGTCACACTGACATTGCTATGGTTATAAATTGACTTAAGGCAGCGGAGAAGAACCACTGACCTTTCTAAAGCAGTATAAATAGCTTACTCAAATAATCAAATGTCTTGGACTGGAGTCAAACTATTGCAACAGGGATAAGTGATTCAAACTCAGCAACCGTAACAGCTAGGTCCTTTAACCTGTACTTTGTGCCTGCATGAACTATAGTGTGGTTTGTACACATCATGACTGTTTGATTTATAGACTGGAATATCAAGACTCGGACTAAAGATGGAAGTAAAGAATAATCTTCCTATAATAGTATGGCATTTCTAACTTACTCGCACAACAGGACACCATTTCCTAGAGATTTCCTGAAGTCTTCAGCATATTCAAACTTCTTTCTTGTCACAGCCTGAAAAACAAAGTAACAAAATAACAATCTTAAACTATATAATCTAAATCTGAACCTAAAAGATATTGAAACTTATGTATTGATGTTGAATATGATCCTTACAGATATTTATGATAATTCATGTAAATTGAACATTTACCCAAGTTACGTGTATTATAATCAATAGGAAACTCTAAATTATGAAACTATCAGGAATTAAGCTGTCTCTAATATGAATCAAATAAATAAGACATGTATTGAATACATTAGAAAAACATTTAGAAGATATTTTGCTTAGCAACAAATAGAAAATATGCTTTGTGTTGAAATTCAATGTATTTATATTGTCAATGTTTATTAAATTGTAATATTATTAGTAGACAGTCAGATATTGTAATATTTGATATTAAAAGTAAGAAAACAAAAACAGGTTATTTAAGTTCAGGTTTATATCTTCATAGCAGATAATTCACACTAATTAGTCCCATACCTTAAATTAATTAAGATACAACAAATACCTATGGTGTCTAGTTGACCTTAATAAACATTTTTGCTGCCTAGCACAGAAACTGTCTGCCCCTAGTGCACTCTTCCTTCTATAACTCGGTTAATTTTAATTTTTTTTAACAATGTTTAGTGTTCTGGCCTTATACCACGAGTAAATAGTTAGGTTGATCTGATTCTATACTGTTGACTTATTAATTTAAGTAATATTATATAAATAACACAGTAGGTTTGTAACTGTAAAAATATCATCCAAGAAAAATACTGTTACACGAGGGATGATACTGTAACATACAAATCTATGTGTTATTTATTTTACTGCCCTGAACAAACACTGTTTCTATAGGTTCTTGTTTTTTCAGATTTTGACTGTGACAAAGTACTTATACATAATTTTTAGTCACATGGCACACTTGTAACTCCCAATGGCCTATGGGAGTTTTTAAGCAATAATACCTATTGAATAAATCTAACTTGGCAGAAACAACTTCCTTACTGCAAATCAAGGAAAGGGGAGATAATCACTACAAACCTTGCTACAAGAAAGGGAGAGAATTACAAATATCTGATAAACTGATTAATGTTATCACTCTATTTTATAAAATATGTCAAAATTTTCAAGTATTTACTGATTAATTATCACTGTAGAATTATATCAGTATCTCTCATAAACTGTCATCACAAGCATCTTCCTTATGTTTGGTATCTAATACAGAAGTGACTTAAACCTATACTCTGAGGTATACAAGTTAAGTGATTTTTGAGTACATCCCAACTTTAAATAGAGTATATTAAAGAAAGGGCAGATGTGAAATGTTGTTGACACAATATATTATCAGTGTTTTACAAACCTATCCTGATAATACAGGAGTGTATTACAGTAAGTCAATATTGACTGTAGACATAGTAGATCTAACGCGGCCCTACATAACTCAATTACTGTATATTATCCTGCTCTCTAATTGATAAATATATGAACAATATTTCTATATCAAAAGAAATATAATAACAGTTTCAATAACTTCTTTATACTTGAAAAACATTGAAAGTTTATAATACAAAAGAGCAGTGTTTGACAGAAAAAAGATTTTCTAAACAAGAATATTTGTCTACATTGGACCGCAAAATTTACAAAGTCACCAATGTTACACACAAAGTTACCATACTCAAACATAGAAATTGGGAATTTCTTAATCTTGTTTTGAATTAATCAAATTAATATACATTATTGAATTATAATGTGAATTTTAGTCTCAAAGTGGCATTATGCTCAATTTTTTATTGCCAAGTAAAGTTGAATTGACTACATATTTCAAAAGATTGATTGATTCAACCTTTGGTCAATAAAAAGTTTTAGGATGAAATATAAATCTGCCTTAAAACCTATTCTTTTTATACTTCATGAATGTTCTAGGTAAATTCCAATTGATATTTTGCAGAAATTTCCTTTGGCCACATCTGACAGCTTTTTGTTGTTCATGCAAAGTGTTTTATACATTTGAAAGGAATTATTGAAAAATGTAAACTTATTTTGATTTTCACGGGATCACTCACTAAATACCCTTGGATAGGCATATAGTCATAATTATGTGACCCAGTGGTTACACAATCAAACAACATATATATGTTTCAAAATGTGTGTGTATATATGTGTGTGGTCACAATATTTGAACTGTTAGCTAATTAGGATAGAGTCGGATAGCTCAGTCTGTTGAGTCACAGTACTGTATTCTGAGGGTCCCTCGCAGGCTGCACATTTTTTTCACCCTGTGACATATACATAATATGTGTATGGGCTCATATTTAAGTTTCATCCTTGCTAAAATAACTTGAAGATGTCACAACGAATCTAGGGCTGTGTACACACTTCAAATTTGTGTAATACAGAACAAGTGACATGCATGATGTAGATCTGACAGTCATCTCAGACTATCTAAGCTGAGTATTATTTGATCAAAAGTCACTACCATTAAGTGACTATTACTACTGTGACTTTCAGATGTACTGGTAGAGATGGTCCTTTCTGCAAACATCTCAGGCTTGACCTGGCACCTGAGTTGAACCATAAACCTTAAACTGGATAACTTCCTCACATGCAAGAAACTCCCTAGTGGGATTCGCACCAACAGTGGTGAGGGACAAGTGGTTTTAAGTCCATAACCTTTACCTCATGGTTTACAACCATGATCATTTGGTTACAGAAACCTCCACCTAAACTGTATAATCTGTATTTTAGATGTTTATCAGAAATAATTTACCACATTCTTAAAGGTTTTAAATAACATTAAATACTCTTTATGCTCAACTTACACCAATGTTATAACAATATTATTAAACCTTAGATTCTGACTATCAAAATATGTATACAAAATTTCTATAAAATGACCTTTTACCATTGGTATATGATTCAACAACATTTATGTTAAATCTTTAGTAACAAACCATACGAAAATTTCAGTTAGAAAGAAGTTACAGTATAACATAATTATGTTAAATAAACACAGAATTTGACTATAATTAATGAGTAGTCAAAATTTAGTGTTTGTTTATTCTAACAACACCTTGAGTAACTGAGAGAAGAAATAAATTTCAAGTTAGGTCACAACATCCATCTTCAAAAACATCTTTTATACTATTTCTTTTAGTTACTAACAAATGTGTCATGAACAGTTGAGGGATACTCAGGCAAAATAATCACAAAAATATTAAAATGATCTTATGTATTCAAATCATGCTTAAATGCCATTTTTTAAAGTCCTAGTATAAATTTCTGTATAAATTCTATATATTTTGGGTTTGAACCCTAAATATATCTATATATGTTAATTGAACGAAATTTAGAGGCGGACAGATTTAAAACAAGTTATGTGACTTGAACAAACCCTGGAAGTTACAATAACAGATATTGTGGATGTTGTATGATTAAAACAAGTCTAAGCCATTCATTTTACATATTCTTTAACATTTCCAGAGTTCACTGTGACAACTATTGTGAGATCGGAATGCTCTATTTACCTGACCCACATGGGTCAAGTTAGGAAACCACCATTTATTCTATATAAGGAGAAAAGTTTTGTTCCTATGACTGCCAGTGTAGTAATTTTGAGGACTTTTACATAATAATGAATGAAAAAATCAAAATGAAGAAATGAAAAATTTGCCTGTGTCTCCCTTTAAAGCTGCATATATCCAGGTGAGTATAGAAATTTAAAAAAAGATAATATATATAATTATATGGTCAGAAATTAATTTTTGGAAATGCAGAAATATTCACTTTCAATGGGATGAAATGTATGTTTCATTTAAAAAATTTGAAAACCCACAGTGTTGTTTATTAAAATAAAGCTTTGATCACTGAATATTTCTGATTTCTCACAAATTGTTTGAGTTTATGACTACAGTAAACATATTTATAAAAGGTGTTAAAATCATTTAAACAATTTTGTTGAAAATTTCTGGTATAGTAAAATATCTATAAATATTGACAGTATCAAATTGGTTTAACAACACCCCCTGGCATATTTTGATTTTTTGTAGTTAAAAGGTGAAAAGGGTAAAAATTTAATTTTACGCTCTCTTTAAGAAGTATAAATGACAATTTACACAATACAATACATAATATTTACAGTAAAAGTAATGTTTAACGACCCATGTTCAGTGAAAACTGACAACTATGTTAATCATTTATTTGAAGGACAATGATTTTGTTACATTTTAACATACTGAGATAGAATCTACGCCCGCCCGATACCGATTGATCAGTTTTTCAAGAAGAGTTCATCAAATATCATATCTTCTATTTTATTAAATAAAAGCTGTCAGTTGTTTAAACATATCTGTTTTCACTATTCTAGAGATAAGGTACTATATAAAGGAGTTTTTATTTCGGCATATCATGAGTCATAACATAAGGAACAATAATTGTACGATTTTGACATTTATTGTCAAAACACTAACATATTTTATACCACATATTTTTCACCATTTGTTTATTTTTTCTTCACTTGAAAAAAAGAATAAGAAAAAGGCCTTACAATAAACTCAAGGTCAAAGGCCGTAGCTAGTTTGTAGTGACCTGTCGAGATTGAACTTATTTAAAGTTAATTTTATTTAAAATTACCTGAATGATAAAGTGATTATTGCCTCATGTTACGTACTGTCCAATACCTGTCACCCTAGGCTAACAAATGACAACCTTACCTGACTCCATCACCATGACAGTTTACAAACATAACTTTAACACAATTAATGAGCTCAAATTCATTACCGGTACTTTAAAGGCAGTAACTACGATTTTTGTTACAGCTGTGAAATATTTTGTAGTATAAGTATCAGATTATTGATTTAAATGAGAATTAATGTTGTTTAATATCATGCATATTTATCAAAATATGTATATTAGATGTACATGCAAGATGTCTATTCCTACTAAATTCAATATCAAAGATATTGGTAAATGAATGAAAGTTCTATGAGAAGGGAAAAAAAATAAATTTCAAAACTTTGTGACCTTGACCTTAGT